GGAAAGAGAAGCGACCCCATTTTTTTTTATCTTAGCTTTGAACTTGGCTATCTATATATTATCACGCGCGCCGTATTTTAAAGTACGAGCTGTTAAAGTACGTATCGCCGTTACACTGCTGCCATTAAAATTTTACGCCTTGCTTTAAACGTCCCAAGAGTGCAACGCATTAATTAATAAAAACCCGAGGAAATTAGAGCGTTCGGATGCGTATAACAAAGAAGCTGCTATTAATATAATCATTGAAATATATTTGTATTAAAATGTATTATAAACGAGGTATGAATCCAAAGCTTTAATATGCAATCAATTCATACGAATTTCAAGGTAATTCTCATTATGGGAAATGGTAATTAGCATAAACGCGTATAATGCATATTTAGAATGTTTATGAATAATTATCTGTAATCCACATTTGTTAAAATTTTTAACGATACTTTGTGCCTTATATATATATATATATATATATATATATATATATATATATAGTTTTTTTTTCTCTTCTATTTATGTCTATTTATTTCTTCTCTTCTATTTATGTCTGCTTATTGCCTTGTTTCATCTCTATTTACAAAGTAATTCTCATGTACATGAATTTCGTTTAATCATCTCTATATCTCTAGCATATTTAATGTATTATAGAGTACTTTTTTTCACGTATCGGATGCACTATTTATTTGAACGAATAAAAGTTATATATCAAGCAGTTTATCAAAAATTAGCAAAACATTGGATTATTAATCAACAGTTTATTAGCATTTAAATCTTACAACAATCATACAACAATTAAACTTTGTATATTAAAATTTTTTTAATATAATTTTGGTTTTTTTTTTTTTTTTTTTTTTTTTTTTTTATGATTTAAAAAATTATATTGGTCGGCTGTCGTAATACAGAGTGATTGTTTAAACTAATTATAAAATTTGATGAAACTGTACTAGTGGCAGTATTTCCATATTGTGGTTAACAAAAGTTATTATACACAAATTAAAAATTTATAATATTCAACATTGTTTAGGATATTAATTGCCGGTATCTTTGATAAGTTAATACTATTGCCATTAATTAATAAAATTAAAAACAATAATAACTATACACCATAGATTCATGAATTGCCGAAATTATGAATAATGAAATTTTTCCATGAAATTTTTCAAATAATAACCTGACATAAAATTAGTTTCATAATTCTTAAACACCACAATTATTATATATAAAATTTAATTATTTATTTTTATTTATTTATTTTTTTTTTAATGTCACTGTTTACATACATTAAGTATTTTTAACTCTTCGTTTATATTATATGAATGAATAGCATTTCGGAGTCTACTTATTTCTATAATAAATATAATAAAATACTAATATCTCCTAAATTATTTTCATTAATTCTAAAATTATATAAAATTAATATTATTAAACTAATGTTAAAATGCATATTATATTCTTTTTTTTTTTTTTTTTTTTTTTTTTTTCCCCCCCACCCCCCCCACCACCCCCTCTTCTTTTTAATATAAACTATTGGACGCTTATGTATAAATCATGAAAATGGAAATTAAGAATAAGGATATTATCGCTTTGATCAGTAAAATCTTCAATTTATCAGAGTTTGTAGTTTAAACGAGTTAACAAAATTATTCTAATTATATTATACAACAAGAATAACAACAAAATTTCTCTGTCCTATGTCGTGGTCAAAGACACCCAGCTGAAATTCTATATTTTGTGAATTGCTTTTCTTCCTTCATAGATGCTTTGTTCCCCAATGGTTCGCATTACCTACGAAGCCATTCTGCATTCTTTCGTACTCCTACATGGATATTATTTTTAAATTTTTATATATTGTGAGGCTTCTCAATATCATAAGGTAACACATCATCGATAAAGTCCAGCTGAGCTCCATTAATCATCGAATAATTAGCTATGCCATTTAGCGCCCAAGTTCGTTCGAGCAGAATATTTAATGACGTCCTTCAATTGACTTGTACGAATGTATATATTCAAATTCATTTTAGTTGTTTTCTTTTCATCATCTCACTTATTAACATGGCAAATAAAATATTGTTTTTGCGAGTTGAGTTAATTTTTGTCATTTGCACGTGCAAGTAAGCCAAACATGCATAATATAAGCCTATAGTTTACACATAATACACATAATACTATAAAGTTGATTAATTTTTAATAATCGACACTTTATTAAAAAAAAAAAAAAAAAAAAGCTCCCTCAATATCAACATTCTTTTTTTCTTTTTTTCTTTTTTTTTCTATTTTTCTTTTTTTCTTATTATCTAGCAATTGATATTTCATACGATCGATGAATTATATTAGAATAATATATTAACATCAAGTAAATGTAAAATCCGATACTTTGTTATTAAAAAGAAATAATAACGATCAAAGGTAGAAAATAGCAGGATACCTGCGATTAATCGTATCTCGAAAGTCCAATGAAATTCTCTCGTGTTCATAACTGCCCCTCAAAAAATTTCTTCGAAGTTGAAGATTTCGGACCATGACGAAAAGCGATCTGTACTTGCACCAACTGTCTCTGTTGTAAATGCAAGCATCCGTACGATTGGGTTGATATAGTGCCTCGAGAACAAATACGAAGGACGTGAGGGATCTGCAGGTAAGCCGTATCAGGGCAGTCGAGCAGGTTTGCTCCTCGATAATTTCCATGATGTTTCCTTGGTTGAGCTGCACGGCAGTGACGTTTCGAGTGATGATTTGTCGTAAACTTGACACATTGGTCGATTGAGTCGTTAAGGACACCACCAGAACAGCCAATAATATTTCAGCTAGTGACATCTTTGGTACGATATCTCATTGGGTCTCTGGATTAATTAATAAAGGACATTAAGTTATTATATATTTATAAGGTTAAGATATTTATGTTAAAGTGGGAAGTGCAGAAGATTTTATTATTTATTTTAAATCGCATTATTATATGAAGTTAATGTGAATAATAAAATGAACAACACTTTCCTTTCAAATATGTTGGTTACGCATATGTATATGTAATTTACTATACGACAGATATTTATAGGACACATACAATTAATGATGTTTAGCAATAATATTTTTCTATTGATCGACGCACGTAGAATTGTTTATTATCTATCCATACAGCATATCAATAAATAAAATATCTCATATATATATATATATATATATATATATATAAATGTATGATAATTATTTTCATAATAATAATATATCAATACTGATCAGTTTAATAATAATAATACAAGTAATTCCAGAACAATCAATATTTTACTTATATATATATATATATATATATATATATATATATATATATATATATATATATAGAGTGATGGCGAGTAGTTTGGGTATTGTATATTTAATAATTCTAAGGATGTAAACAAAAATTTTAACGTAGTGCTTAAATAATAGAAATTTTTTTAATTATTTTCTTAATACTGCTAATAATTGATATGGCAAGTAATTTTATATGATACACGTAGTAACTACTAAGCATTCCTTCAATGTTCCAATTAAAGCTAAAATTTGTTTTTATAATATGATCGAAAGTAATTGGAAGCGTATTAACGACAGTTTTAAATTGCATATACTTTTAATCGATAGTTTACGGATCTTTGAGATTTTTGAGAGCAAAACCGCATTATTAATCGTCTTTATCGTCATTTCATGTTTACAAAGCTGAGCAATTGATCCAAGGAAATGTATGATTGCCCGAGTATGTGTACTTACTAGATGATCGATAGTAGAATAATATTTTCTTATTAGTCTACATTTAATTCATACATACGGAGTATTAAAATTCTTGCTGGAAATTATATAATTTTTTCGTACGAATGTGAATCGTTTGTAAGTGACATTTTCAATTAAAAATCTACAAGCTACATAAATGTACGTAATTACAAGCTACGTGAAATAAAATAAAGTAAAATAAATAAATCTATTTTGTTTTATAATTTGTTTATATGAAAATGATAATTTCCCATGAAAATTTGTTTATATAACATTATTTAGAATTTTAATGAAGTAAGCTCTTACTTCTCGTTACAGTCGTATTTTCATATTATGAAATGTAATAGTTCAAATTATATTAATATATATTGATAGATTGGCATTTCTCGTTAACATTTATATAATCAAATTTAGTTCTTATTTAAAAAAAATATAAGAATTTCATATCACTTTGACATTTAGAATAAATGCTTATGCGATTGTATGCGAGATAAATAGAATATAATTAAAATAAGATAGCAGTTAAATCGAGAGGATTTTAAAATAATTTAATTTTAATTTTAATTTATCTCTGAAGAGGCAGATAAAGATTTAAGTTATCCACATAATAACTCTCTTCGATTATATCTATTTTTGATATATTCATATCCTCATTTTTCCTTGTCTTTCTCACTGTTTTTTCATACTGCCGCATAACGGCATCTATAAGCGACTTCATCACATTAATTTAATATTATAATCTATTATAGCCTTAATGATGGAATCACAGTCTAAATAAGTATCGAGCTATTCGGTCATTAATCATCAAATATGGCTTAACTAAAATCTCTTCTAATCGATAGATTCAGCTGCTACGTACTATCATCGGGTTATACTCTTCCTTTCCATGTCTCGCAATAGATTTTTTAATCGTCTTATTTATTGAAATACGAAAATCATTCGTGTCTCTTATCTACACATTCAGCTTTAAAAATTTGTCGCTTGATCTAGGGATCTAAAATAATGTGCCGCACCAATGAGTGTGGTTCCGAGTCGCTAGAAAACTTGACCTCGATTCAAATATAAATACTAGTTTGTGGCGTCTAGCCATACTTCGAAACTTGTCACAACAGGGAACTTTTGCTAACAACTGTCGCATCCCACTCGTGATTATGGGCAATCTGATATGAATAACTTTAGGCCATAATACATGACCTACAAGTTTCCTCCAATGTTATTTCTCTTAATATAGCTCTTTCGGTGCTTTAGCCATAAGTAATTCAATGAGAATTTTCAATGAATCAAGGGAAAATTAATTGTAATACATGCACGCTCCGCTTCGATATATTCGCATGCTATGTTTGGCATCTACAGCTTTTATAACCTAATGAATTCAAAATAATATGTCTTACCAATTTAATAACAACAACAACAACAACAACAACAACAACAACAACAACAACAACAATAACAACAAAACGTAAATTAGTTGAAAAAATAATATTAAAGTATGCGACGAGTGAACAAAGAAAATGAGGAAAAATTATATAATTCAGTAATAATTTAGCGCAAGATTTATATTTGTCGGGTAATTTTGTTATATATTAACACTAATAGAAAATAGCGTATGAATTTCATAATTGCACTAAAGTTTTTACAAGACAAAAAAATACCGAGGCATTAACTGTCTGTCAAGAGAAGATATTCTTGGTGCGAATGATGTAAAGTTAAAGTTGATGTATTACGTATCACCATTTGATTGCGATCATCATGTTTAAATGTTTTAAAAGTACTTAGAAATTTTATTATACACAGTTTAGCATCCAATGATGCCTTAGAAGAGCAGTAACAGTTGTTCAAAATTTGTCCTTTTGTCCTTTTAACATTCATTCTTTTTTCAATATCTATGTTACAAAAAAAAAAAAAAAAAAAAAAAAAAAAAAAAAAAGAAAAAATACACAATTGATAACGGATTACATTCTTACGTTTTCATTAAAATCTTAGCGCAGAGAAAAAAAAAACAAATTTCTATACTTTAATGGAAAGGATAATGGTTACGATAAGTAATTGTATATATACTAATTATGACTAATAATGATTTCGACCATGATTTTAAGGATATTAAGTGATATTAAGTGGCTATTAATTAGGTTATTATAACTTTAACATATCAATGATTTATTTTTTTTTTTAAAGATTAATGAAAACATTAAAAATAATAATTTCCATTTAATCACTGCTATATCAAATCTATCCTTAATTCTAATGACTTATAAGTGATTTGATAATTTTTTATCAGTTGAATGACTATGACTGGGGTTCTAATTCTAGATGTCCTTGTGAATAATTTTAGAAGTATTCATAAAAATCTCCAGTACGATCAATAAAAATAAAAGATAAAAAAATATCAGTAAATGATGAAACTTTATTTTAAATCATCTTACATTCTTACTGATTTTAATGTAAAAATATTAATTTTTAATATAATTTATACCGAAGTATATGAGTAAGCAAATAAAAAAATTAATTAACTATATATTTAAAGAGATATACTTAGTTTTACAATTTTTAATAATCTCTTTAGTTGATAACTTAAAAAGTATTGTATTTTTTCGCGTTAAAAATTTATTGTTCAAAAGTTGAATTTAAAATAAAAATAATCGAATTATTTTTACATATTCATTCTATTGTTAGTATTCAATCTATTATTCAACTATCTATTATTCAATATACAATAATAAAATTCCTTATTTCATGAATCTATGTATTTGTTTCCCTTCAAAAAATAGTCAAATACAACGTTTACTAAAAAAATGAAAACTTGTAAACATATTTTATCCTTAATGTTCTTTAGGAAAGATTCAAGTCCTAGGATTCTATAGTATAAATTAACAATTGACATTTCATTGAAAAATTGGACTTGCTTATGTAATTATAAGACTTAGAAGATTTATGTTTCCACTTGAACTTATATTTTATATTTTAGTATACGTTAATATTGTAAAAGAATTATTTCTTATATTTAAAGAATCGCATTATACTTAATTTTTGGAAATATACACACACACACACACACACACACACGCACACATGTATATATACACGCACACATACAAATATTTACAAAAATATCCAAATGTCATTATAATATATGACTACAATTTATTAAATTTATCATTATATATTTATTTCATCACATAATGTAATGGATATTATTGTACAAAATTTTAATGTATAATATAGCGTTGAGTTAAGTGTATCTAAACAAAAAAAGACGAATTCATAAAAGATAATTACATTTCATAGCTATAATATGTGTGATGCAATTTTACAAAAAATCTAAGCATTTCTATAGTGCAACTATTATAATTTTTTATTATAATAAATAATCAATTAAATTGAAATATGTTGAATAGTTTCGTCAGATATAGTATTCTTATTTCCATGCAAGACTTTAAATAAATTAAATACTTCAATTTTATTTATTTATTTTTTTAATTAATATTATCGCTTATATCCTTGAATATACAGATTTTTAGCGAAGAAATTAAAAACATGACACGACATAACATTTCATTTAACACATTGCTTATATATTTTTATGAAATATTTTATTTTTAATATTTCTAATTTTAATATATATATATATATATATGCACACAATTTATTTACAATAATTTCATTACTATGCACAAACATAGTAAAATAATATTTTCTAAAAGAAATATTCTTTTGACGTATATTAGTGTTGAAAGAATTCAAACTAACACGAAGATTTAGGATTGATAATGAAATTTCAATCTGTATTTTAATTAAATTTTTTCATAATTATATACAAAAGAAGAAAAGAAAAAGAAAAAAAGAATCGATATTATAAATCAAACCGATGTGAAATATATTAGCAAACAAGGTTTAGTATATCAGTGGGTTAAATTAGTGCAACAATTCATATAATAACGATAGATATAAGTATAATGTTTCTAAAGTTAATTTCATTAATTAGAAATATATTTGAATGTATGTCAAATCTTTAAGTTTATTGAACGAAGCAATAAATATTCGAAGATTGTACTTTAAGATTGGGCCAAACTCTTCTAAAGGGCTTATTATTAAA